GGGCCGCTCCGGGTTCCCTGCCCAGGGCTGCGGCTCCGAGAGGCATGGCGGCGCTCAGCCCACACGCGGCGCTCCCGCGGGATGGGGGCATGGAGTGGGGGGAGCCACGCAGGCCGAGAGGCGAACCTGGGCCACGTGCTGCGCTGCCGCCCGGGCCCGCTCCCCCCGCCACAGCCTGGGAACTTCGGGGGCGAGTCCCACTTTGCGGCCTAGTGGCGGAGGTGCCTCCAGGGCAGAGGCCGGTGTTGCAAGTGGGCCGCCCACCCGGTTAGGCTGGCGGGGGGCGCAGTTTGGCACCCCTAAGGGCCAGGGCCGGATAAATGTTTTCGGCGGGCCGCATGTGGCCCGTGGGCCGTAGTTTGAGGACCCCTGTTCTAGGCTGTCACTGTGAGGTCTGGGCATATATATCGGAACTATTCATAAGACAAGTCTAATGGGGAAAATGTCTGGTTTTACCCTGACCCACATCTAGGCTTCTCCATCTGTCCCAGGCAGTGTTCCCTCTAAGCTGAGTTAGTGTGAGCTAGCTCAGTTTTTTAGCCTCTGGCTCACACATTTTTGTCTTAGCTCAGGAAGGAGGGCTCCGGAGCAAACTGACTGATGCAGCAGCGAAATCGCTTGCTCACAAGTTTCATGCCAGCAGCTCACAAAGAAGAATTTTTGCTCACAAGACTCCACAGCTTAGAGGGAACATTGGTCCCAGGCAGCGTTCCCTCTAAGCTGAGTTAGTGTGAGCTAGCTCACAGTTTTTTAGCCTCCGGCTCACACATTTTTGTCTTCGCTCAGGAAGGAGGGCTCCGGAGCAAACTGATTGATGCAGCAGCCAAATCGCTTGCTCACAACTTTAATGCCAGGAGCTCACAAAGTAGAATTTTTGCTCACAGGACTCCACAGCTTAGAGGGAACATTGGTCCCAGGCAGTGTTCCCTCTCAGCTTAGTGTGAGCTAGCTCACAGTATTTTAGCCTCCGGCTCACACATTTTTGTCTTCGCTCAGGAAGGGATGGCTCCCGAGCAAACTAATTTATGCAGGAGCCAAATTGCTCGCTCACCACTTTAATGCCAGTCGCTCACAAAGTAGAATTTTTGCTCACAAGGCTCCACAGCTTCGAGGGAGCACTGATCCCAGGGCAGCTTCAGAATCCTGCACAGACCGAGCTCGACTTAACTATTGGTGGGATGAATGTAAACATGGGAGTCACATTCTCCCAGCACTTAGAACTGTGGTTGTGCTAGATATATGCATGACTCTCGGCACATGAAAGTGCTTGAAACATGAAAGTGTCAGAGCATTGACCTGTCAAGAAGCAGAAGAAGAAGCAGAAGAAGCAGAAGAAGAAGCAGAAGAAGCAGAAGAAGAAGAAAAAGAAGAGGTCTGTACTATCAATCAGTACTATCTCTGCATGGCAGCTGCTTTCCAGGGCGTCTACCAGAAGTCCTTTATGTCACCTACTACTAGATCCTTTTAACTGGAGATGCCAGGGACTGAAACTGGGACCTTCAGTGTGTAAGCAGATGGTCTACCACTGAACCACTTCCCAGCCTATATTCTCTACTGTAATACTGAGAGGGTTTTTTTTTTTTTTGGTCCTCTTCTGAGCATGGAACAGGGGTCACTGGGGATGTGGGGGGGGAGGTATTTATGAATTTCTAGGGGGTTCGACTAGATGACCCTGAAGGTCCCTTCCAACTCTATGTTTCTATGATTCTACAAAGCCACAGTTTTTTAGTGTCAGTATCTGGCCCATAAAAAAGACTAGCATAGCAAAGCAAAAACGGTAACAATCTTTTAATAAATAGCTTCACTTTTCATTCCTATATACAAGCACTTTACAGCAAAACCCAGGCGAGAGAGAAAGAGGGAGCCTACCCAGCAGATAGGGTAGAGGAGGTGGGCAGCGGTCGCCCCAAAGGGGAACGGTGTATTGCAGTCAGATCAAGATGCACTGCTGTAAAACCAAATCCCGCGATCGCCTTGACGGGAAGCCGAAGTCCATTTTCGGCCATTGCCCGTCTACTGATAAGTGAGGTCCGCCTGAGTGCGGAGAGGCTCTTTGGTGTCCTGAGTGACAAGCAGGCCGTTCCAAAAATCAAAAAGGAAATGCCTTCTTCTCGGGAACGATGCTGCGCTTTTCACTGTTGACTTCGGGAGCGTCCCATGCACGTGCGCCGTAGAAAAGAATGGGATGTGCTATTCTGCAAATACGACGGATTATGGGAGAATACCCAGCAGGGGTACCCAACGCGGTGCCCACGGGCACTAGGGCACCCACCACCACCTTTCCTGGTGCCCACCAAGGGCTTTTGGAAGGTGGGTGGGGCTAGCTGGGGCTTTTGGCTAGCAGGGTTTCTGATTGGCTGTGCAGATTATACCCTGCTCCCTCTCCCCTGAACGGGACTCGAGACGGTTAGACAGACTGCCTGAGATGTTGAGGAGTTACTGCTAGAGCTATAGATAGCCTCGTTCCCTGATATTTTGTGGTTGGCTTTGCCTCCTGTGGTAGACGTTTTGTGATTGGGCCCGCCGCCCTGTGTCGGAGGCGCCCGCAGGCTCGGAAAGGTTGGACAGAGTCACATCATTACTCATCAAGTCCTGAGTACTCATCCAGTACTCTGCTTTTCAGGGACTTTCCTGCTAAAACCTCTTATCTCGAGATGGCAGGGTTTGAACCTGGGGCATAATGTGCTCTACCACAGCCCCACCGCCCTTAGGGCTCTTTTTGTAGCAGGAACTCCTTTGCCTATTAGGCGACACACCCCTAAATGTAGCCAATCCTCCAAGAGCTTACAGAGCTCTTCTTACAGGGGCTACTGTTAGCTCTTGGAGGACTGGCTACATTAGGGGTGTGTCGCCTAATAGGCAAAGGAGTTCCTGCTACAAAAAGAGCCCAGAGTCCCAGGAATAAACACATAGCTGCCCTTTACTGAGTCAAATTGTTGGTTCGGCTGCCACCTTCTCTGGCTATAGCTGACCACAACAGCTCTTTAGGATCTTAGGTGGAGCAAAGTCCTTCTCACCATCATCTACCTGAGTTCTTTGCCTGGGAAAGGACCATAGATTCAGCTTAGGACCTTCTATAGGCAAAGCCTTTCCTCCACCACTGAATGATGACCCTCTTCCAATGGGTCTTGTGAAGGAGAAATTCCTGGTCCTCTTCCACAACTCCAGTCCCTTTCAGGTCTTGGTGGGAAGGATCGAAAGTCCACTTCCTTGCTTTGTAAACGAGGTCCTCCTCCTGAGGTTCTGTTTATCCTGGAGGTGTTGTGGGCACTGCAGCAGGATCCCATGATGGAACTCACCTGTTTGGAAAGAGAGGTACCGTGCAGTATGGGGGTTCAAGCCAGCACTGGAGCCGGTTTCTCACTACAAGGCAGATGCTGGCACTGGAAACTGTATCCGTGCGCCACGTCGATTGCATAGGCCATTTTTGGAATCAATGCGCCGCTTGAGTCTGCAGTGCACTGCTGATGGTGCGTGCGTCTCCCACGGGCAGCCAGCCCTGTGAATGGTGCAAGCAACGGAAGACGGCACTGCTCGTCTAGACCTTAGCAAAGCCTCGTAAACTGCAGTCCTGGGTGATGGCTCAGATGGTTGCCACGCAGGTGCAAGGAGCCCGTTTGCCCTTCTCTGCAAATACGCTTCAGCTACTTTGCCACAAGCGGCACAAACCACATCACAACACGTACACCTCGTGCGACTTTCTCATTCCCAGAGCTCTGCGGTGCCGCTGAGATCGAATGCCCTCCTAACAACATCAAAACGTGACATTATCTTTTATTTTTTTAAAAAAATGCCCATCGCTGGGACCCAAAGAGCAGAGAGCAGAACTTCCACCTGCATCGCCGGGTTTCTCCCCGTGACCCTCCACTGCTCTTCTCTGCACCCTTCATAAAGTGGGGGGGGGACCCTCTGATGTAATACAAGGACCACGTGTTGGAAGAGAACATCTGGTGACTCCTAATGAGTGTGCAGAACCACGTCTGTCGCCACAGAAGGCCTTGGGCCAGAACAAACAGGGTGGAAATGAAATTGAAAAGAGTTTTTGGCTAGACATCAGGAAGAATTCCTGGCCGTTAGAGCAGTTCCTCAGTGGAACAGGCTTCCTCGGGAGGTGGTGGGCTCTCCATCTTTGAAAGTTTTTAAGCAGAGGCTAGACGGCCATCTGACAGCAATGCTGATTCTGGGAATTTAGGCAGGTGGTGAGAGGGAAGGCAGGAAGGGATGAGCCAGTGCCTGGCTCCTGTGGCTACTTCTTCTATGCTCAAGGTAATGCCGATTGCTACTTTGGGGTCAGGACTCAGGAAGGAATTTTCCTCCAGGCCAGACTGGCCCGGAGATCTTGTTTTTGTTTTTGCCTTCCTCTGGACACAGAGCAGGGGTCACTGGGGCATAGCTGTGAATTTCCTGCATCGTGCAGGGGGTTGGACTAGATGACCCTTTGAGATCCCTTCCAGCTCTATGTTTCTATCTGCAGAAGCCTGTCGGAAGCGTGCACAGTGCTCTTTGGCTTCCAGCCAGATGGAATGTAAACAAGGCAGAACCCAACGGCAGGCACCAAAGCGTGATCCGGAAATGTCACATCCGTAAACAGAAAACAGAGCAATGCGAAACTCTGAAAAATAATACTGATTTTTTTTTTGGTTTCAATAATATACACTATGTACAAGGAAGCTGCAAATCTGACCATACAATAGATCACTGGTTTATAGAGATAAATTATCAATACAATTCCGATGGACTCTGTTGTTCCACAATAAAAAAAAATAATAATTCCCGAGAAGTGTAAACTTTGGTACCTCTGGCAGCTTCCCTCCCTGCTCCCATCCCAAATTAAACTTCTTTCTTTTTAAATAATAATTATAATAATTAAAAAAGCAGCCGATGTGCAACGGATTTCTGAGCACCAGAAAGATAGCCAAACCCATTCAGCTACTTGTTTCGTGTAACCTTTCTTTGGTGCTTTATTTCAAAGCACTGAAGGGTTAACCAGATAGCGGGAGAGGAGGAGGAGGATGAAGGCGGGAAGGACGAAAGCCACTGGAAAGTGAATCCAGCACTTTCCTTAAAAAAAAAAAAAGTCAGTCTGTCGAGAACGCTTGCATTTGAAAAGCTCGCATGTACCCTGGGTACCCGGAACAAAGGAACTGAAACAAAGTCTCTGCTTTCCTCCTCCCCTTTTTAATTTGCTCTCTGTCTCATCTTTCCACAGTGGAAGGCCTCAAAACCTGCCGCCTGCCAGCCTGCTTCTCCATTTTCCTTGCGGTTCTGTTGGGCGGAGCAGCTGCCGAACGGCTGCTCGGCGCCGCAACGGGATCAGTCTCTAGCACGGTTGAGGAGCTGCGGTTCACAAGATGCTCGCTCCTCGTCGGAGGCTGATACGGCATCGTGAGGGGCCCAGAAGTCTTATTCCTTCCTTGGTCATGAACTCTCCTCTGGGGCCGGTCAGCCGCTCGGGCCCTGCCATGGGACGGCGGAACGAGCGCATGCGCTTCTTCTGCTGCAGGGGAGATCCGGCTCAAAGGGACTCGTCTCACCAGCGCGGACTCGGAGCGAGGAGGGACTAAAGAAGTGGGAGCGGCCCACGTTTTGGGTATTTCGCCGGGGTTGGCCATCACGTCGTCTTCCGTCTCCGCAGCTTCGCTAAGGAAAGGGGGCGGGAGGGTGCTGCTGTGCCTGCTGCAGGAGTCACAGCAGAGCTTTTTGTAGCCCGGGATGGAGCAGTAGCGGGCCAGCACCTCCATCTGGCAGAAAATCGATTTGTCTCCCTGGCAGGGTTCATCTGCAAAACAAGACACAGCGCTAGTTGAAGGAACATCTTATTTTTTTTTTAAAAAAAAATGGAATTGCTGAAAAGACACCTGGTCCCCCACAGGCCAGTTATGTGCCAGAAGATACGGATCGGAACTAAGCTCTAAAGACACATTTACGATGCAATCCAAAGCACAGTTAAACCCTGACCTGGGTGGCCCAGGCTAGCCCCACCTCGTCAAATCTCGGAAGCTAATCAGGGTCGGCCTGGGCTTGTATTTGGATGGGAGACCTCCAGTGATGCAGAGGGAGGCAGTGGGAAAGTACCTCTGAGCGTGTCTTGCCAAGAAGAAGAAGAGGAGGAGGAGGAGGAGATTGGATTTATACCCCACCCTTCACTCTGAGTCTCAGAGCGGTTTACAAACTCTTTTCCCTCCCCCGCCACACAACAGACACAACTAGGGCTGCCAAGTGGGGGAGGGGGGCGGATAAACCCCCGCTTTGGAGGCCCGATTTCCGCCGCCGCGGAATCGAAGTGACGTTATGACGCCAGGCACGCTGGGGGCGGGGCCACGACCATCCAAGGGGAAATGCTATGGTTTCCCCTTGGATGGTCGTGGCCCCGCCCCCAGCGTGCCTGGTGTCATAACGTCACTTCCTAGTGACGTGCATGCGTGCGCGTCCGCGTGTGCGTGCTCCGAGATCTGCCCGGGAGTCCCCCGCTGCAGAGGTGAGTACTACTTGGCAACCCTAGACACAACAGAAAGAGAGAGCTCTTTCCAGAACTGCCCTTGAGAGAACAGCTCTGACAGAACTATGGCTTGCCCAAGGTCATCCAGCGGCTGCAAGTGGAGGAGCGGGGTCTGGGGAAGGGAGGGACTTCCAATGGGGTATAATGCCATAGACATAGAATCAAACCCGGTTCTCCCAGATTAGAGTCCGTGCACTTAACCACTACAATAAAACGGGCTCTCGAGTTAAAAGGATCACCTACCACCTGATCCTTATAACTCAAGATGCTGAGGATTAAACTAAGCAAATGCCATCACGAACAATGCCACCTTCAGCTGCCTCCTAAAGCCTGAGAGTACACGAGCCAGGTGCACCTCCCTGGGGAGTTCGTTCCAAAATCATGGGGCTGCCACTGAGAAGGCCCTTTCCTGTAGGACCACTGACAAACTTCTCATGGGAAAGCAACTCGAGGGTAGAGTTGCCCGCTCCAGGTTGCGAAATACTCAGAGATTTTGGGGGTGGAGCCTGAGGAGGGTGGGGTCTGGGAAAGGGAGGGACTTCAATGGGGTATAATGCCATAGACTCCACCTTCAAAGGCCGCCATTTTCTTCAGCTGGCTCTCTTTGACCTGATGGCAATTTTCAGCTGTGTCCTGATGGCAATTTTCACCACCACCACCACAACCTAAACACAGTGACACCCTTCTTAGCTCATCGACTTTCATGGACTCAGAACTCTGCTAAGGATTGCGCAAATAGGTTCTTCAGCTGAGATGGTTTAAAGACATGAAACTTCAGTGCTGCAATCCCCAGATGCCAGTCTAACCCACTGTGATCCCACCCTGCCACCTTGTACTTCTTCTCCCATTTTATCTTCAAAACAACCCTTTGAGGTAGGTTAGGGCTGAGAGAGGATGACGGGCCAAGATCACTTAGGATGCTTTGGGCCAAGGTGGGGATCTGCAGCAAGATCTCCAAGATCCTAACCCAACATTTTATGCACAATAACCCTCTATGAAAAACAAAGGCCTACTTTTTTGTTTTCTTATGCTTTATATCCATTTTTTTTTCTTTATATCTGCTGAAATCCGTCCTTACCCAGTTCTGTACAGGAACATATGCAGACTTGCTTACTGTGTTCACTGGAAAGCAGTCCCTGAAAAGTTGCATCGAATTTTCGAGACATTCGCGTGCAACAACGGCTGTGCGATTCCGGGGAAGTTAGGAATTTGTAAACAGCTTTTTTTGCGCATCGGATCCCAGTTTCAAAGTGGTGACTTGCTATGGCTTATCATACTTCCCCACACAAAGCCTGGATGGGCTACTTACTGTATAGGGCAGGGGTGTCAAATTTATTTGTTACGAGGGCTGGATTAGACATAAATGTCACCTGGTCGGGTCGGACCATGTGTGACATCAAATGTAATGCCGGGTACGGGCAATACAAACTTTATAAAGGACACAGGCAAACCCATGTAACAATACTGTTTTCTACTCAAAATACAAACCTGCTTACAACATTAAAACTCTTAGAATATTTCCTTAAAGTCTCTCCCTGATGCCCACCCTCCCGCTTCCACTGCCCGTTACGCATTAGCACTGGGACAGGATACAGGGACACAATGCACAGCCTCTGTCATCTGGGAATAAAAGTAATGGCCAGTTGCTCGTGGGCCAGATAAGAGCCCTGGATGGGCCAGTTTTGACTTGAGGTCCCTATTTGACTTGAGCCAGTTTGGTGTGGTGGTGAAGTGCGCGGACTCTAGTCTGGGAGAACCAGGTTTGATTCCCCACTCCTCCACTTGCACCTGGCTGGGTGACCTTGTGCAAGCCATAGTTCTGATCTGTTCTTGAAAAAGAAGCAGTTTCTGTCAGAGCTCTCTCAGCCCCACCGACCTCACAGGGTGTCTGTTGTGGGGAGGGGAAGGGAAAGGAGTTTGTAAGCCACTCCGAGACACCTTTGGGTAGTGAAAGGCGGGGTATAAATCCAATCTCTTCTTCTTCTTCTACCTCACAGGGTGTCTGTTGTGGGGAGGGGAAGGGAGAGGAGTTTGCAAGCCGCTCTGAGACTCCGAGTGAAGGACGGGGTATAAATCCAATCTCTTCTTTTTCTCTTCTATGTTTGACACCCTAGTGCTCAATAGGCCAGGCTGTTGAAACGTTCTCTCCCAGGCTCCCCCCCCCCTTTCCAGTTGGAGGAAGACTCCTTAGGTTGGAAGAACTCCCTCCAGCCTAAATCTGTATACTTGCTAGTGTCTATTTACTTCATTTATACTCCACCATTCTCCCTACTGCGGTCCCAAAGCAGCTTACATCATTCTCTTTTCTTCCATTTGATCCTCTCAACGGACCTTTGAAGTTGGTTAGGCTGAGAGTGCGTGACTGGCCCAAGGTCACCCAGCAACCTTCCATATCAAAGCAGGAATTCGAACCTGAGTCGTCCAGACCCTAGTCCGACACTCTGACCATTAACCGCACACCGTTGCTTGTATACCACCACTGATCCCATCAGGCCATGCTGCTGGAGCTGGCTCGGGGTCTTCGGGCCGTCTCCGTAGAGACCCGCGCCTTGGGGGATGGCCTGTTTGAGGCGGTGGGGAAGGCTTTCACTCTCCTGGCTTGCCGCAAACTATGCAAAACTGAATTATTCAAGAGGGTTTTTCTGAGCAGGCAACAGAATTAAAGTTAAAATAAAATAAACTGAAATTAAATCACCTGCAGTGAGCTCCTCCCCTGCCTGCCTGCCTGCCCCATCCCAGCATGCCACCTGAGGCAGGCAGGGCAGCAGGTAGTGAGCTCATCCACCACCACCCCCATGGCCAGGTACTTCTCAGGGGAGGCAGGAAGGCAGGCAGGCTCCCCCCTCACCCAAAGGAAGGAGGGAGGGAGGGAAGGAGGGAGGGAGGGAG